AAGCACTATTTTCAAGATATTGGGCTGATGACTGAGAGAGGAATATAAAGAACATAACACAGTTTCTTTTTTGAAGGAGTTTATAATCTCCTAGTTGGATATCATGAAGTAGGGGCCACTCCCTGTACTTCACCCATACCCACTTGGCAAGTGAGAGTGACCTTAGCAAGGCCAGGGTGGCCTCATGCACAGCTCGGCTGGGATATTTTCCTTAGCTAAGGTTTGGGTTTTACTAAACCCCAATATCTTATGTCAGGTGTGTATATAAATGGGATAACCACCAAATGTGTGATACAATGGATGCAACGGAAATTTTACTTCCTAATTTTACATTCTTATAATTTAAGTAAAAGCGAAAGAATCATCAAACTTTGTAAAACTTACACACTATATACTACGTGCACAAACAAACACATGTATATATACACACACTAGCTTTCAGGATAAAATTCTTAGTAACTACAAAGTCCAAAAATCACTGGCCTTGTTTTCTGTTATATTCCTGGAATTAAATTAAGATTTATTTTTAAATAAATAAGTTAAGTCATGGCTGGCAATTTTTTTTCTGTAAAGGGCAGGATAGTAAATTTTTTAGACATCACATATCATAGGCCTTTGTCACAACTACTCAATTCTGCTACTGTAGCATGACAGTAGCCAGAGATAATCCTCCTATATAATAATATGCAAATCGACGGAATGGAGGAACAACCTGTTGCTATGATGCACACTGACCACTAGGGGGCAGATGCTCAATGCAGGAGCTGCCCCCTGGTGGTCAGTGTGCTCCCACAGGCGGAGCACCGCTCAGCCAGAAGCTGGGGTCAAGGCTGGTGAGCACAGCGGCAGTGGCGGGAGCCTCTCCTGCCTCCGCTGCAGGCAGGCAGTAAGGAGTGAGGGGTCCTGGACTGCAAGAGCCCTGGACTGCAAGAGGATGTCTGACTGCTGGCTTAGGCCTGATCCCCCTAAGCTGGTAGTCAGACATCCCTCAAGGGGTCCCAGACTACGAGAGGGTGCAGGCTGGGGTGAGGAACCCTCCTACACACCCCAGTGCACGAATCTCGGGCCTCTAGTGTGTAAATGAATGACTATAGCTGTCTTTTTTTTACATTTCTGTTCACTTTTTTCAACCACTTAAAAATGTAAAAGCTATTTTTAGCTTGCAGGTCATACAAAAACAGGTGGCAGGCTAGTGTAGTCTGTGCGCCATAGTCTGCCAACTCCTAAGTTATGCAATAAATTATGTTCCTTTTCATATTTTCTTTTATTATTTTAAGACATATTTTCATAATTAAAAATCTCAAATATCTTCCTACTTATAAAAGGAAATGCTTTTTTTCTACCTTTCTGTAGTCATTGTATTGTTTCTGTGAATATAAGAACAATTTTTCTTGAAAAATCACATTATTAAACACTTTTAGGCAATTAGCATGGCTAAGATGGCTTACCAAGTTAATTTGCAGCATTTTTTCCCAGTTTTTCTCATTATTCACTCCAGCATTATTGACCAGAATGTCCAGTTTTCCAAAGTAGTCTACAACTTTTCTGAAAGTATCTAATATCAAAAAAGAGACATTACAGATATGTTCTTTCTTTCCATATATACATGTAAGTCATATCCTACACCATGGCATGCATTTTTATGTATCCACCCTGATAGCGAACATTACACTCTTAGTGACTCAATGCCTTGCTCCTCAGTGTGGCTTGTGAGCCAGCAGCATCAGTCAGCATCACCTGGGAACTTATTAGAAAGGCAGAATCTATGACCACCACAGACCTACTGAATCAAGAACCTTAATTTTGCCCAGCTAGTGTAGTTCAGTGATTGAGCATCAATCTATGAACCAGGAGGTCCCAGGTTCAATTCCCAGTCAGGGCACATGCCCGGGTTGTGGACTCGATACTCCGTGTAGGACGTGCAGGAGGCAGCCAATTAATTATTCTCTCTTATCATAGATGTTTCTATCTCTATCTTTCTCTCCCTCTCCCTTCCTTTCTGAAGTCAATAAAATATATATTTTTTAAAACACACACACACACACACACACACACACACACAAAACCTCCACTGTGTTTAAACAAGGTATAGTTTGCATAGATTCTGAAGCCTGAAGGTCACTCATTCCATAGTCCAACTACATATCCAGTTCTTACAAACCCGCCTTAGCCAGTTCATACTAGGTTTTCCTACTTGTGTGTGAGAAACACATTTCGCAGAGTTGACTTTTACATAGTGCTATTGATTTAAACTGTTTCCTGGGGCCTTGTACAATTGGTTCTAGTTCTATTACTTGAGACTATAAATAACAATTGTGTTTGCTCTTCCAAATGACAATATATGTTCTCAGGTCTTGGGGCCAACTTATGAATTCCTTGAAAAAAAGTACATCCAAGTAAAATCATAGAATTGTTAACAACCACCAGGCATATTGAGTTCCCCAAAAGATAATTCCTTATGCAACTTAATTGTCAAAAATAGTGGCAACATTTTTTAATATGTGCCCTTTCCAGTACCCTTTACCATACTGGAATGGAAAACAACAAGAAAAACCTGTTTCCTTTTTCATGGAATTTTTACAATAATTCTCAAGATCTCAAATTGATTCTAGGAAAGATCCTCTAGTAGAAAAAAATTAAGAACTTTTCTTTTTATTCATTTATTTTTGCATTCCATCCTAAGAATGTTCTCTTCAGAACTCCACATCCATCTTATAGGAAATTAGGTTGTTAAATATGTATGTCTATTAGCCATCGTTTGAGCTAATGTATAAAGTGTCCAATGTTTTATATGAAGAGCATTAATAAATTAAAATCCTAAGATGTATTGATACTCTTTAATAATGTACTGAATTTTTTCAAAATAAATCAACTGTCTATAGAGTTATCATAAAACAAACAAAAAATATATACATCTAATTAGTTCTTTAATTTTTTCTCATTTTGGTCTCCACTGCATTTCTTATATTCTGCCCTTACCAATGTATAATATACCATCTTCTTTCTGACATACCCCTAAATGTTGGGCCCAAGCAACTTACAATCTAGCTCTTGGTGATGTTTATATGCTGTGGTACTCCTTGTAATTTACCTACTCCCCCCATCACCACCACCAGGTTGCATTTCTTCATTTATAAAATGAGTTCTGTCTTGTTCTTCTCCAAGAACATTTTCACCTCTGTATTTTTATGGTTTCAATGAAGTCTCCCTTGGCCACATGTCTAAACCATTTGAAAAGTTATAGGCAGCACTACATCCTGAAATTGGAAGAGTCAATGCCGTGTTTTCCTGAAGTGCAAATACGTGCTGATGTCCAGACAACATGTGGCTTTCTCATGACCACATGCCGCCTCCTGGTCACTCATTATGTGTCTGAGTTTCCTCCTCCACAATCACTTATCCTTAAGGAATGTGTTTACAGCCAAGGTACTAATTTCAAATACAGAAAAGCAAAAACAATGAAGGTTAAATGTCACATGTGAAACTACACAAATTCAGACAGAAATAGCTTCCAGATGATCTATACCATGGATGATTCCATCCTGCATGGATTTTGAGATTTGACATGCCTCTAATCTTGATCCAAAATGTCATGTGCAATCAACAAACCTTTATCCTCTGGCAAAATATGTTCCATCACCACCGTGTTTATAGCTCTCTTCTACTCATGCTTGTCATCCATATGATAGATCTTTATTAGCATTTTCAGATTTTAATTACATATCTTCCTTTAAAACAACTTCCCTTAACTGTAGGGGAACACTCCTTTCTAACATGCTATTCTATTTCTAATCTCTTACAGAATATCCCAACATTTTCAAAGAAAGTCATACTTCAGTGTTTCTTTAAGAGCAGGAGTAGCAGTGACTTTTAAAAAATATATTTTTATTGACTTCAGAGAGGAAGGGAGAAGGAGAGAGAGATAGAAACATCAATGATGTGAGAGAAGCCTGCACGCCCCCCACTGGGAATCGAGAGAGAGATAGAAACATCAATGATGTGAGAGAATCCTGCACGCCCCCCACTGGGAATCAAATCAACCAGGCATGTGCCCTTGACCAGAGTTGAACCCAGAATCGAACCCGAGACCCTTCAGTCCACAGGCCTACACTCTATCCACTGAGCCAAACCGACTTGGGCCAGAGTGACTTTTATGAAAGTTTTTTTTCTCTCTTGATAAAAGATGTGCCCAACAATTTACCCAGTCTTTCAATAAAACTTTGTGAGATACAAATATTTATTTTTCTATTTTTTTTTCTCCTGAAAAAAATTTTTTTCATGCATATCTGTTGGACCTCTATATGACCAAATCCGTTTATATACCAATATCGCCCCTGATATTTCACAAGTGGGTTGTTCTATTTCAAGTGAGTAGACGGAAACAGGAAAACTTTGAGGAAAGTCTGATAGAAACTTTTCTTCTGCCATCCTCACACTGTAGCGCAGCTATTATTATTTTTAAACTACTATCTCAGAGGGGAAAAACCAAAGAGAACACGTGGTTAACAGCATCTAGCATGTCTGTGCTGATGACCCTCGACCTTGCACTCTAGTACTTTTTTAAAAGAGAAACACTGCCAATTTCATTGTCATTGGGCTCTGTGTCTTCCAGCTTTCTGGGAGAAGTTGTTGCTTGCCCCAGTCCCTTAGCTTCTGTTTAACTTTCCAGGTTCCATCTGCAGTTTCAATCATTTCATAATTACTGTTAGCAGCACTGTCTTTGAAGACACCAAGGAATTTTGATTGCATTATGCGCTGCCAAACCGACTAAAATAAAAGGATTTCTCAGGGCTGGGCTCCCTCCCTCCCTCTTCGTTTTTTGCGGCTATTGGGATGTCAGTAGGAAGCACAACACTCCCAGCTCCCTCCTCGGGCTTAGCGGTAGCTGCTCTCCAGCTGCCTGCCCCAAGCTGACTCTCTGGCACGGGCTGCCTTCAGGTTATTGCTTGTTCAAGGAGCGTCCCTCTGTCCCTCGTCGCTGAGCAGATCTCCTCGCTTACCTCTCAGTTTTTCCTGGTCGGACACATCGCAATGGATGAATAGAGTTTTCTGGGGTTCAAACTGCTCATCCAGAGCAGCTTTACACTCGATACCTGCTTCATAACTCCAATCCACCAGCGCTACCTGCGGGGAAAGAAGAGGAGCCCAGGTCCCGCGCAGCTCGAGAACTAGACACGCAGCAGACGAACAGTAAATAAACAACAGGACGCTCCCCGTGGGGACCTGACACTCAGCGATCCAAGGTCGGGTTTTCTCCCAGCCGCTTTGGGGGTCTACTCCAGGGCGTCAGCCTCGGCAGCTTTGGGAAGTGGCGCGGTGGGCACGTGGGGGGGCAACGTCCTGATCCCCCACCCTTGGGACCCCCTGGGCTGGGCAGGCGGGATGGTGGAGGGGTGGGAGGTGAGTCTCCGGGCTCGCAGAGAAGGTTTCCGCGGCCAGGCGCCGCTCTTACCTTGGCGCCCTTGTGCAGCAGCGCCTCGGCCACA